CAAGGAGAGACAAGAGGGCCTTCTTAAATGAACAATGCAAAGAAATAGAGGAAAATAATAGAAAAGGAAAAACCAGAGATCTGTTCAGGAAAATTAGAAATATTAAAGGAACATTTTGTGCAAAGATGGACATGATAAAGGACAAAAATGGGAGGGACCTAATAGAAGCAGAAGACATCAAGAAGAGGTGGCAAGAATACACAGAGGAATTATACCAGAAAGGTTTGGATATCCTGGACAACCCAGTTGTGGTTGCTGACCTTGAGCCAGACATCCTGGAGAGTGAAGTCAAGTGGGCCTTAGAAAGCTTGGCTAACAAGGCCAGTGGAGGTGATGGCATTCCAGTTGAACTATTTAAAATTTTATGCCTACAACCTCTCAAAAGGGGAAGCTGAAGGCAATGGTTTATAGGCAGGTGTGCTTCCATCTTCCAAAGCTGATGCAGAATTTAATTTTCTACTCAACAACCAAGATCCTAATTCTCAGGAGCCCTTATGACAGGTTAGGGGAGGTAAGACAGTGTAACCCTTCCACTTAGGGCTGGCATGTTCCTGGACCCAGCTCTCTCAAGGGATTCCCAGATTGCAGCCACGTTTGGTTGGCCAGCAACCAAATGAGGCTGATTGCTTGGCCCCACCCTACCTGGATGGGGAGAGGGGCTAAGGACATTGGTACATGTGCTGGTGATCTCCAAAATTGACTACTGTTAACACTCTATGTTCCGCTGATGTGGGGCTTCCCTTGGCAGAACTTATCAGGGCCAGTGAAAAGCTTCCCAAAATGACGTGCCCTCAAATTCATTTAAATTAATATCTTCATTTAATATTCTTTTTTTAAAAAACCACAGATGCATATACAATACTCCAAATTATTGTTAATTAAAAAAGAAGGAAGCCACTTTTTCATTTACAATGCCTAAGCAAAGCCTGTTAACCTCCTGAAGATCATTAATTCATACTATTGTTGTAAGTCAGAAGTGACTTATCAACAGGATAATAAATCACTATACTGGCTGCCTTTTAAAAAAGCTTTCCACCTCTAAGACTTCCACAGAACTGATGAAGCAGACACTATGTTCCAGTACTAGTTTACCTGATTACATAGGTTAATTTGATAGCCAAATTTGTTCCTAGAGTTTCTTTTTATCTATAATCCTGTATTATACATGGTATCACTAATACTCCTTACTCATGTTTTATAGTCTGGCTATAGCTATTATCACTGTTCTAGCAGTGCTCATGTTCTCACTGTACAGTGGACCCTCGACTTACAGACTTTTCGAGTTACAGACTTCTCTGGCTGCAAAATTTAGGTTCGACCTGCAGCCGAAGAATTGACCTACAGACCAGAGGGGGGGGGGAAAAAAAACCCAAAATGGAACAAAAATGGCTGGTTATAGATTAATTGGTTTTCAATGAATAATGTGACCATCGAGAGAATAGTTATAATTGCTAACAAGGAATATGGCACTTGTAAAGCTATTTGATTTTTAAAGATTAACTCTGGTCAATG